CCGGACCTGCGTCTGAGATCTAATACTAAAGCTGCAGGCGCTCGATATTAAGATGCAAAATGCGACCTTGTACTGAAATCACATGTGCTGTGTAATGTGAATAGTGTTGTTCACCGTGAAGGAGTATAAGCATTGTTCTGTAAAATGTATCTTTTTAAATACTTCTCTCCCCTTTTTCCCTCCCTCCCGCAGCTGCAAATTTTTGAAGTCTCCCTCCTCCATCCCGAAGGCTATCTCAGATAAGGCGGCGAAAAAAAATGGATGCGAGACGAAATGTTGTCTGAAATCATGGAATCGACCCACAATGAAAGAGCTCATCTGAATGAGTGGAAGGACACGGTATCAAAGTACAGGAAAGATGCCAGTGAACGTGAGGCCATGAGGGACGCTCGAGACGAGAGGTGGAAGGCTGCAATGCTGGGGCTGCTGCGTGATCAAACGGACATGCTCTGGTGTCTGATGGAGCTTCAGGAACGGCAGCAGGATCACAGAGTGCCACTACAGCCCCTGTATAACCGCCCTTCCCCCTCACCATGTTCCATAGCCTCCTCCCCCAGATGCCCAAGAACCCCGGGGAGAGGAGAGGCTCCATGCACCCTCCCACTCAACCCCAGTGGACAGCCCAAGCAAAAGGCTGTCATTATTTTGAATTTTTTTAGTGGCCTTTTCCTCCTATCCTCCTCCCAACTACCTTGTCAGTTCTCTCCCTATGTTTATAATCAATTAAAGAATACATGATTTTTAAATGATAGTGACTTTATTTCCTTTGAAAGCAAGCTGTGATCGAAGGGGGGAGAGTGGGTTGCTTACAGGGAATGAGTCAATCAAGGGGGCGGGGTTTTCATCAAGGAGAAACAAACAGATATTTCACACCGTAGCCTGGCCAGTCATGAAACTGGTTTTCAAAGCTTCTCTGATGCGCAGCGCTTCCTGGTGTGCTCTTCTAATCACCCTGGTGTCTGGCTGCATTGATGTTGGTGAAACGTCCCTTGAGATCCACCAGTGCTTGCAGCACCATTGAAAAGTACCCCTTGTGGTTTATGTGCTGGCTGCCCTGGTGCTCCGGTACCAAGATAGGGATATGGGTTCCATCTATCGCCCCACCACAGTTAGGGAATCCCATTGCAGCAAAGGCATCCACTATGACCTACACATTTCCCAGAGTCACTACCTTTGGTAGTAGCAGCTCAGCAATTGCTTTGGCTACTTGCATCACAGCAGCCCCCACAATAGATTTGCCCACTCCAAATTGTTTCCCAACTGACCGGTAGCTGTCTGGCGTTGCAAGCTTCCACAGGGCTATCGCCACTTGCTTCTCAACTGTGAGGGCTGCTCTCATCTTGGTATTCTGGCGCTTCAGGGCAGGGGAAAGCAAGTCACAAAGTTCCATGAAAGTGCCCTTACGCATGCAAAACTTTTGCAGCCACTGGGAATCGTCCCACACCTGCAACACTATGTGTTCCCACCAGTCTGTGCTTGTTTTCCGGGCCCAGAATCGGCATTCCACGGCTAGAACCTGCCCCATTAACAACATGATCTCCAAAGCGCCGGGGCCTGCGGTTTGAGAGAATTCTGTGTCCATGTCCTCATTACTCTAGTCACCGCGCTGCCGTAGCCGCCGCCTCCTCGCCTGTTTTTGCAGGTTCTGGTTCAGCATAAACTGCACGATAATGCACGAGGTGTTTACAATGTTCATGTCTGCTGTCTTGAGCTGAGCGGGCTCCATGCTTGCCATGGTATGGCATCTGCTCAGTTCACCCAGGAAAAAAGGCGTGAAACGGTTGTCTGCCATTGCTTTTCCGGAGGGAGGGGGAGGATGTACCCAGAACCACCCCCGACAATGTTTTTGGCCCCCATCAAGCATTGGGATCTCAACCCAGAATTCCAATGGGCGGGGAAGACTGCGGGAACTATGGGATAGCTACCCACAATGCAACGCTCCGGAAGTAGACGCTAGCCTCGGTACGTGGACGCACACCGCCGAATTAATGTGCTTAGTGTGGCCGCATACACTCGACTTTATACAATCGGTTTCCAAAAATCGAATTCTGTAAATTCGGAGTAATCCCATAGTGTAGACATACCCTAAGTGTTCCCCTTCCATGGTTGCTCCTGCAGAAGGGGAAGATCTTAGTGTGATCCTAAGCACCCCTATATTCATACCCTATACACTATTGTAATAACCTTTGAACAAAATATACCTTGCAAGGTATCATTTGAAAACTAAACTCACTGATCATTAATATTCTTGCATGATGTATATACTCAATGGATATTAAGAGTTCGGGGTATATGCCTGAATTATGACTAAAGTGTGTGTAAATCAGGTGTGCTAGGGAGAGTTGGTAAAAACGTCTGCACTAGACAAAGGAATGTGTTTTCCCCACCTGGGAGTTACTTCCAAAGTATGTTATAAGACAATGAGAATGTACTTACATATTGCGTAAACAGTCCCATCAGACTAACAAGGGGTGGAGGCAAACCTCAAACTAACAAGTGGGAGCAGCAGGGGAAGGAGACAGCATATGGTCTACACCTAGTAAGAGAGAGAAGCTTGGTCTGGGTTTTACTTTTCAAAGAATACATTGTAAAGGTTAACTGGTCTATAAAGACTGGGGGCTGAACCTCAAGAGATAATCAATTGAATCAACTGATTGTATACAATATTACTGAATTATAAAGTATATAGAATGAGGTCTTTTCAGGAAGCCTATGACATGCTGATGATTAATAGCATTGTGAATTTTATGTATTAATACTATATTGGGTCTTATGGATACTCAGTGATAGTAGACTGTACAGTCTGCCCAGACAAGAGGGAATATCACAACAGCTATCTACCTGATTCCTATGTAAATTAAGCATGATGAATCAGAAACAATGGAAGCTCTATTTACATAGAAATCATATAGAGGGATGGGAAACCCACATGAAGGGAAGAACAGAATGAGGTCATCGTGCCTCTTGAAACAAGTTAATTGAACTTTGGAAGATATATTCAAGGAGAGAAGCCATCTTTGGCATCCATCTCTTGATGGACACAAAGGAGCAGAGTTCCTGCAAGCTGTGAAAGATGTCCTTTAGCCAAGGGGGATTGGGAACTGAATACAAGTGAGAAGCCATCGTGAACAAAGCCTGTATATTGCTAGATTAAGTTTTAGACCTTTAGATGCATGTTTTCACTTTTATTTGCTTGTAACCCTTTCTATTTTTATTCCTTTAATTAGACATTGTTAATATATTTGTTTTATTTTTACTATAAACCAACTCAGTGCTGTGTTTAAAAGAAAGGGTGTATTTACCCTAGTTAAGTTAATAAAGTGTGATTTGTTTTTGGTCTTTAGAGGAACAAATAAACTATATTATTTCTCTGAACTGTCCAGGAGAGGGCTGGGCACTGCAGAGTGCACAATATTGGGAATATTCAGGACCAGAAGTGTGTTAGGCTCACCCTGCAAGTAGTAACCAAGGCTGTTGGAAGCCAGAATAGGGCTGTAGACAGGCTGCTGCAGTCAGAGTTGCTGAACCAGGCTGTCTAGCACACAGACACTCCAGGTGTGACCTGCATGCTGGTAGGCTGGTTGTGAGTGGCCCAGGTTGGGAGCTATAGCAGTCAGGCATTGTGAGACACTCAGGATTACAAAGTAGGTGGCAACATAATCCTACACTGGTCTATATTGCACCCCAAATTACCATCTGAGTAATAATACTTTTTTTCCCCATGAAGGCATAACAGATCCCATATCTGTGGGATCATAATCCACTAGTACTACATTAGGGCAAAGCAAGATAATAAAACTAGAATCTCATATTACAGTGTTGTTCCTAAAAAGCTATCTAATTTTACCTGCAGTAATCAGAGAAAGTAGCCTCATTATCTGTAGTATTAACTATACTTACTGTAGGAAATGCCTTAAAATACTTCATAAACTGAGGTTATCTAAATGAACTTTCTTACGTAGTTACCGAAGGCAGTTGACCACTGGAGTGGGGAGTTATTAAGGGCCAGATTCTACCACCCTTATTCATGTTGAGTCACACCTTATTTTGCAGGTAGTCCCAACGAAATCAATTGCACTAGTAGCAATTCACTGTTTAGCGTTTGGTGTTTTTTTTTATTGTAAATCTTTTGAAAAAGTAAAAGGATGCTTTCTGCATAAAAAAAAAGTGATTTATTGAATTCACAGAAAGAATTGATCAATTTACAGTAGAATAAAAGTTGCTTTAAAGAAATAATTTGTCCCTAAGCAGAAAGTCTCTTCTCAGTGTAAAGATATATAGCCTGTTTCTGCTTTCACGCTGATTTGACAGTATCAAAACCCCTCTGAGGTCAGTGTCGTTATTTTGGATTCACATCGGAGCAACTGAGAGCAGGACCAGGTTCAAAATCAGAAACAGCCTATTTCCTGGTTCCAGTGGGCAGGAATGCTGGAACAATTTTTATAGTGGGGATGCTGAGAGCCATTGAACCAAACTGTAAACCCTATATACGATGGAAATCACTTCAAGCGAGAGGGTGTGTGGCAGCACCCCCAATTCCAGCACCTATGAAATGAGCTGAAATCTTGGCATATGTATCACAAGTACAGCTCACAAGAATTTAGCATGGTCAGTTCTGAGTTTGCTAGCTCTGATTCAGCCTAGAACCAAAACCTCAACCTAATCACAAACCACTTCTGAATACAAATTCCTCGGCCCACCTGTTACTTTGTAATATATGCAAGAATGTACTCCATGCTGTACCAGACACAAAATGAAGATAGCGCCTGCCCTTAAGAGTTTGTGTGTAATATTTAAATGTTAGGACTCGGTGTGATTTTTGAGATGAGTGGTGTGATATACAGTTGTCTCAGTGTTTTACAGTATAACATGCCATTAGCTCTCTTGTGCTGTGAATCATCCTATTTTATAAACAGATCTTAGAAAGTAGGAGTAGCCTTTTGACTGCTGAATTTTTTTTTCTCTGTGTCATTCTTTGTGCCTCTCTGTACCTTTTACAGAAAGCTGAAATGAAAGATTTAGATTCTGATGAACTCGATGTAGCTGCTCTCCATGTCTGTGCTAACTGGTAAGTTTGTCGATCAGCTGCTATTTCAGACAAATCATTGGTGTTTATTCATGTCTGTGGTTTTCTTTCCTCTATTATATACTAAGATTCTTAGCATAGATTTCAAGGCATGCAACAGCAGAGTTAATAAAACTGGCTTGGCAGTATCCCTCTGACAAAAATAAAACCCTAGTGGAAAATGTACTAATTGTTTCCACCTGCTTAAATTTTGTGTGGATAACAAAACTGGTCCTACAGCAGAACAATTCTCAAGCTAACTCTAAAAGAAAAAATATTTTAATGAAGAAGAATGGTTGTATTAATTTTTGCTTTCAAATATACCTCCCCTCTTCCCACCAACATCTTTTAAAGTATACATTACGGAGTACAAGAGTAAACTAACATTAAACTTTCTTACTAGTTGGGCTTAAGGGCTATCCACTATTTGGAAATGACTGAAATTTTTAAACTAATTAGTCTTTTTTTCTGAGTTAATTGTACGCTGATTGTACACAGCTGAAGTTGAGGGTAGTAAAGAATTCGAGTGGCTTCTCATTTAAGCCCCAGTCTTGCAATGTCTGTATGGGTGGACCACTGCGCCAATGCAGAGCCCCCACTGACTTTACACATGAAAGTTCCCTGGATCCCCTTTTCCTATACATATTCCATCCTCTTCGATATCTACTATTCAGCCTACCTTCCCAGCCTGCATATTTACTTTTCTTCTTTGTGTCTCTTTTCCATGTTCCTCTTTTCTATGTTTGTCTCTGTTTCCCTCTCATTTCTATAGATCTTTGTCTCTCTTCTCTAAATGAGAACACATTTTAAAGCAGTTAAGGGATCTTTGCATCTATGCCTCCCATACCTACCTATGACTATTTAATCTGTTATATAGTATTGTAATGGTGCGAGACTCACCCCTGCAGCACCTCCTGCTGGTTTCCTGGGAATTAGCTTTTTTTCCAGCTCCGGAGCACTCTCTGCAGGCCAGTGGCCCACTTGCCGCTGGCCCCTATGTCCCTCCCGGACCTCGGTGCCCTTTATCCAGGGATTCTGCCCACTGCAGCAACCCCCAATCTGGGTTTCCTCACTCAGGGGAATCCCCAACCCCCTATCCCCACCTCACCTCAGTGGCTACTGCTAGTCACCATCTAGCCCCTGCTCACTGGGGCAGACTGCAGTCTGTAACGGCCACTCATCATTGGCAAGGGGGGTTTGGACCTGCTGCCTTGGCCTACCCCTGGGCTGCCCTTTGCAACCCCAGTATTCTTCTGGGCCTTTAACAAGGCCTGCAGCCTGGGGGGTTTCCAGGGCAGCACTCCCCAGCTCCTCTGGCCTTCCCCCAGCCCTGCTCCACTCTAGGTACCCTGTGAGCTCCTAAGCAGCCAGACCTTCCCTCTCAACAGGCAGAGAGAGACCATCTGCTCCTGGCCCACTGCTCTCTTATAAGGGCCAGCTGGGCCCTGATTGGGGCATGGCCCCCAGCTGAGGCTGCTTCCCCAATCAGCCTTGGAGCTGCTTGCCCCAGCCACAGCCCTCTCCCGGGCTGTTTTTAACCCCTCCGGGTAGGAGCGGGGTAACCACCCCGCTACAATTATAAATTAGGGTTACCATATCTCATAAATAAAAAAAGAGGACCCTCCACGGGCCATGGCCCCGCCCATTTCCCCGCCCCAACTCTG